TACCAGTTTCAGCAATTACCTGAATGTGTTACTGATTAAGTGCCTACCAACTAGGACAGTATTTCCCACCAATGTGTCTCAGAAAGACCTCCAAAGTACTTTCTAGACTGGGTTTTCCCTAGATGTGGACTACTTAATAAAGGGGGATCTACATATACAAACCATTCATTTGTTCCCACAGGTTAGAAGCCTTTCCTCCACCTCCCTCAAAGTATTCAAAAAACAGGCTTGCTTTTGAAAGCCATTCTAACAAGTCTTTTGGGTCTTTATAGATTAAAAACTTTGAAGTATATAAGTAGATTTTTAGAAGAGAATAAAGACTTTCTTCCTGTCACCACACAAATGAGAATAGCACAGTGTATAGGGTCTGGCTGCATAGTTCAGGCTGGCCTTGAACTTGGGATCCTCCTAACGTAGCCTCTCGAGTTGCTGGGAGGACAGATGTGCGCCACCATGCCTGGCTTTTTTTTTTTTTTTGTTTTGTTTTCCAAAGATAGGTCTCACTGTGTAGCCTAGGCTGGCTTTGAACTCATGATGATCCTCCTACCTCAGCCTCCCAAATGCTGGGGTTATGGGTGTGCACCACCACGGCTGGCTCCATGTCTGGTTTTGCCAGGACCTACTCAAAATACTATATATGTTTTAAATCTTTTTGGCTGGTAGACAACTACCATGAACTCTTCTCATCAGCATCCTATTTCTGAATTTGATTTGCAAAAGAAAGGGTACACCAAAAAGTGTGACTTTAGGGACTCAACAAAATTTAAAATGGGACAAATATGCTTCCATTTAGAAAACAAAACATTTTTCAGTTGAGAGTAAAATTTTTTTTTTAATCGGTACCAGGGATCGAACTCATGACCACACACTTGCAAAGCTGGTGCTTATGCCGCTAAGCTAAATGCCTAGCCCCATGAGAGTAAATTTTGATGAGGTTAGTGGAGCAAGATGGTGGAGACCTTTTATGTACACCGTCTCCTTCCATCAAAACTATTGAGCTAAAATCCAGTTCCCTCATGTGCTCTGGTCAGAACCTTTCTCTTCAGGAATGGTGGACTCAGGGAGAAGCTGCGGCCACCTACACCCTCTCCTGGAACCCTCTCCTGGTCCACTTTGTGTCAGGTGCAATGGGTCCTGGCTGGGTGAGCTGCTGTTTGAAGAGAACATCAACAGCCAAATTAACATGTTCCTGACATCATGTCCTGACATCACAGGTCCTGCGGCCCTGTGTCGCCTGGATGTGAATGAGGGCTACATCCCTGAGCCCAGGTGGGCCTGTTCCCTGTGCACACGGGGCTGATCTGAGGAGTTGCACTTTGGCTCTTAAGTACCACTAGCACACACTGCAGCCACCACTGCAGCTCTCCATGACCCACCTGTATGAGGACAGCAATGTTTGCCATGACATCTCAGACTTTCTCATCTGCAACAAGAGCTACCCTTCCAACACAGGCCTGAGATGCCTCCCTAGAAAGTGTCCAGCTGTGGTTTGAGGTCTGGCTCCACATGCAAACCCTCCGTGGTGGATTAACTAATGGGCAATTTGTAACACCCAGCTGAATTGAATCAGCATAGCACTGGGTGTTGAAGGCCGCGGCCTAAGGATTGCTGACAACAGTATAAAAGACGTAGAGGGGATAATGGTGTGCTGTTGATCCTTTGGAAAAGTCTGTTACACTGGTTTTCATGATACAAACTCAGCTGTTCTCATCCTCGGAGGCCCTCTGGTCCTCGCTGTTGTTAAGGACACTGTGGTTCTTTTGAGGGGAGCACTGGTCCTTACCTTGAACATTGATTCTTGACTGTGCAGCTTCCTCAGCCTGCTGGCACAGATCCTTCATCCCATTGGCTCAGACTTTCTAGTTTCCACTACTGGCCTTTGGGTCTTCCTAGTGTAGATCTTTGATACAGACTTGCATGAGACATTGCCATGGGCTCTATGCCTCCATCTGGACTCATGGAGGGCACTGCCTTGGGCTGTAGGTCTTCAGTTGGACTCGTACAAGACATGCTTTGGGATTCTGCTCTCAGTTGGATTCTTTGGGTCTCTCTCTCCCACATTTTTCTGCATTTGACTCCTTGGGTGAGTACTATAAAATAATCCTAAAAATTATGTGTCCCACATTAAACCTTTTTCCTCATAAACCCTAACTACAACACCCTCCCAGCCCTAACTACAACACCCTCCCAGAGGATCCTGCCTTTGGGCCCACTCCACTCACATCAGCCCAGGGCTCTCGCTGCTGAAGTAAAAGCACCAATTTTCCCGGTAGGTTCTTTTGAATGGTGCAAAAAAGTGACTGAAACCATCTGAGGAATCTTGGGCTTGGTTCCAGGTGTGTTGCTAGCTTTTTACATCCTGCCCTGGGCCTCAGGGGTCATGGAGCACAGAGGAACACCGTCAAGGAGGGTCTCTTTCTGGTGGGCTGGGTGTGGGTTGCATACTTAATAAATAAAATTCAGTTCTTTGTCTTATATATTGCATTGAAATTCTACAGAACCTCACTGTCTAAAAGAAACACATGAGCCATATATGTAATTAAAATTTTTTTAGTGCTGTGGATGTGTAGCTCAATGATAGGGTACTTGCCTACCATGTGCTAGACCCCCAGGGGGGTCTTTCCTAGCACTGGAAGAAAAAAGTAGAAACAAATGAAATTACATTTCAACTTGCCATTTCAAAAATATTATTTAACATATGATTAACATAGAAAATTAATGAGTTAAAATAGTAAATTTCAAGCTGGGTAAGGTGGCACATGCCTATAATCTCAGCACTCAGGAGGATGAGCTAGGAGGATCTTTGTAAATTTTTTTTTCTTTCTTTTTTTTTTTTAATCAGTACTAGGGATCAAACTCACAACTGCATGCTTGCAAGGTAGGCGCTTATGCCGCTGAGCTAAATCCCCAGCCCCAGATCTCTATAAATTTGAGGCCTACCTGGCCCACATAGTAAGTCTAAGGCCAACATTAACTACACAAAGAGACTGTCTTAAAAAATTTTTTTTTAATTTGCACAAATGTTTAAAATACAGTTTTGTTCTCTATTTAGGAACTGTGAAAAACAGCCATTTATTTGTTTAGAGGGAATGCCCCATTTTGCATTGTGTAGTCTTCCAGATTCTTCGAGGCTGCAGACGTTGAATGGTATTCCATAGTGTTCATGTTTCCTGTAAATCCATGTTGTCTGGTAAAGCCTTTCATTCAGCTTTCTGAGATTTTATCAAGAATTAGTAGAGGGGCAAGAATTCTTGCCCTGTTAGTTTCTACAATGCAGCCATTTAATAGCATCTCGTCCAAAATGATGTGTACTTTATCTAGATTAAACATTATCTAGCATCATATTAAGGAAATTAGTTTTCAAATTATAAATAAAAAACAGCATTCAGAAAATAATAACATACAGCTTGGCATGGAATTTCAGTATATAAATAAGCCTAAGTAGGCCTTAAGGCCTAAGTAGGGGATTTAGCTCAGCAGCATAAGCACCTGCCTTGCAAGCAGGCGGTCATGAGTTCGATCCCCAGTACTGATAAAAAGAAAAAAAAAAGCCTAAGCATGAAGAGGTTTTTAGTAGAGAATTCTCCAAATTAAAGTTGGTATCCATATAAAAATTACTACCTTTACATATACCTACTCTTATCTTGGTTACGATAAAAGAATAAGTACAATACTCATAAAAATGAAAGAGCTACATTTTTTTTAAGCCAAAAGGGGAGAGTGTATTTTGAGCTAGAGGACAAAGCAAGTAACATTTGGCAAGAGAATGACCTGACCTTGAGAAAGATGTCCTCTGGGATAACGGCAATAGCAATGAAGTGTCGAATACTCATGTTCCTGGCACGTGTTGCATGTTTTACATATTTTGCTCTTCTCTACCACTCTGATGTACACTTTATGTTCTATTCTTTTTTTTTTTTTCCTTTGGTACTGGGGATGAAACTCATAACCTCAGGCTTTACGCCACTGAGCTAAATCCCTCTGTACTCTTCTCATTTATCCAGGACCAAACAGCTCAAAGCCAATGTCTAGTGCTGGAAATTTTTTTTTTTTTTTTTTTTTTTTTTTTTTTTTGAGACAGGGTCCTGCTATGCACTTCAGGCTAGCTTTGAGCTAACTTTGTAGCCCAAGATGGTCTTGAACTTGCAACAATCCTCAGCCTCCTGAGTGCTGCGATTACAGGTGTGTGCCACCAGGCCTGGCTCTAGTGGTAGAATTTAAACCCAAAGTTTGGGCTGGACTGCTGTTTTCCAAGCCTCTCAGGAGGGCCCGGGGGCTACCAAATAGACACCTTCCCTCAGCCCCCAAATCTCTACTCCAAAAAAGCCTGCTTTAATAACCCTATCTATAACTTCAGCTAACTTACTGCCAGACTAAAATAAAAATGAGAAATGAATAGAGGAGGAAAGGTATGCTGACTACATTCCTAAGGAAAATAAAAGTTCTGAATTTCTTCTACAAATGGAGAATTCTAAGAAATCATTTGTGAATTTTTTTTTTTTTGTCTTTTTCATTTTTACCGGTACCGGGAATCGAACTCACGACTGTCTGCTTGCAAGGCAGGTGCTTATGCCGCTGAGCTAAATCCCCAGCCCCTTCATTTGTGAATTATGCAGCCATTTTAGCTTGTTGGTGTTCTTATTGAACAAGTTTACTACAGTACATAGGGAAAGGAGAAATAGACAATAATATCTGACGAACTAGAAAGAGCCAAATTTTTCCCTCAACAACCTTTTCCTTTGAGTACCTAATTATTCTTTTGTGAAAGAAAGGGAACCGGAATCAGGTTATGGCAAAGCTTCAGTGCTTCTGATCTTTACACACTAAAATCTGTGTTCTGTCTTCAAAGAGATCTGTTTTTTAAAAAAAAATGAAAACAGGGGCTGGGGATTTAGCTCAGCAGCATAAGCACCTGCCTTGCAAGCAGGCAGTCATGAGTTCGATCCCCAGTACTGATTAAAAAAAAAAAAAGAAGAAGAAAAGAAAAAGAAAACAGCATGTTTCAGTTGGACAAACTTCATTCAACAAATAGGTGATTAAACACAGTAGGGGAGGTTTTTACTGGTGAGCCGTGGTAGCAAATCATTATTATGCGATTTCTTTTCAGTAATTCCAGATGCTCATCATTTATGCTGTATTTGCTTAGTAAAGTACATCTGTAGAGAACAGGCAACCTGTGAGTGGCTTCTAAGTTTCCATTAGATTATGTTAACATCTCATTAAGCTCTAGTGCTTCAGCAGAATAAACTTTTTCAGGAGCCGATGGGAACTGTCCTTAAGTGACCCAGAAAAAAAAAAAAGCTTTACTCTGGTATAACTATTAATAATGTCTTCCAATTACATAGATGATTGCTTTGTCCATGGCCTAACTGGGACTGGAACAAATGTTAGGCCTTTGACTCAAACCTGTTCCCCAGCCCAGAAGCCAGAATTTATAAGCTTGAGACTTGGTGGAAAAGACAATCAGGGAAATAAAAAGGCAGGACAGAGAAGCATTAGATAGCTGCAAGAAAACAAAAACAACAAAACAAAACAAAAGTCTGCAGAACTCCAGTTATATTAAGGGAAATGGAAGCCTCTGTGCCTTTGAAAATGCTGATGATCTTTTTTTTTCTTTTTTCTTTTTTATCGGTACCGGGGATCGAACTCACGACTGCCTGCTTGCAAGGAAGGCGCTTATGCCGCTGAGCTAAATCCCCAGCCCCAAAAATGCTGATGATTTGAGGAAAAGAAATCTAATGTTAACGTATTTGAATTGGATCAGGCATCCAGCTGCTCTGACAACTGCTTCATCTCTGGCAAACAGATGACATGAAGTTCAGATGTCCCTTTGAGCAGCTGCTCAAATATTTCAAAACTGAGCTCAGAATTTACTGCTGAATCATATCAACCGCTGTCAGCTGAGGGTTCTACCTTGCAAGGATAAAGTACTACAGCAAGTGTGAAGGTCTCAACATCCCGGAAACTTGCGTTACTCACTCGGCCATCCTGTACCATGGGCATGTGACTCTGCCTGTGTGGTGGCTCAGATCCTAATAATCAGGCCACTTCTGGCACTGAATGGGAAAACCACAAACCAAAGCTAATGGGAGGCGAGGCCTGCTAACTACCCTGTGATCATGTGACTCCTTTAAAATAAGAATCCAGCTGCTGTTCACATCTTGATGTGGTTTATGAGCAACTTGTACACACTGGTGAAGCCAAGAGTGGGGCATTTGGGCCTTGTGCCAGGAGGGCAGGGACTAAAAAACATACCCCAATGCCAACCCTCACGGCAATAAACACCAGCGTACTTCAACCCTGACATTTGAAATAGGAAGAAACAAGAAAGGACTGGACCATGGGTCTGCTAATTTAGTCAGCTGAGGGTGACCACTGCACCAGGAACTTATCTCTGGCTACACTGAACTGAACTGACTAAAGATCTTTAAGGCAATTTCTTTCTTTTGTGGGCCTCATGGACCTGACAGGAACTACAAACAGCTTCCCAAACAGCAGAGGTACTCAAGTTCTACTTTCTCTCAACCATGAAGACTGACAGCCTTTCTGAATTTCTATGTAATGTGGATAAGAACATCATAAGACCAATAATATTAGTGCCACTTTGACAGTACTGGTGTTGTACCCGGGCCTTTGCATCTCATCCCCAGCTCTTTTAAAATTCTGAAAGTCTCACGAAGTCACTTAAATTGTTCAGGTTGAGCTCAAATTTGTGATCTAGCTGCCTCAGCCTCTGGGAGTGCTGGGAATTCAGGTGTGTGCCATAACACCCAGTTTGAAACAAATTTTTAGTTAAAGTGATTATAATGTTCAGAGATCAAAAAAACCAGGTGTGGTGAGGCACGCGTGTAATCTCACTCAGGAAGCTGAGGCAGAGGGATCACCATAAGTTTGAGGCCATCCTGGGGTACACAGTGAATTCAAAGCTGGCCTGAATTATATAAGGAGACCCTCTCTAAAAAAACCAAAACAACAGTTTTTAGATCCTACACTGGAATTTTTTTTTTCTGCGTTGCAATTTTGAACTCTGAATCACAAAACACTTTTTTAATGTATTTTAACAGCATCATGGTGGCTCTGTTGTCCTTTAATAAGTGAAAACACCAAGCGGCATTGACTCTGATGGAACCTTCAAAGCAATACTAGGGAGAGCCCACCCTAAAAACTGTATAGCCTTGGGGGCTGGGGATTTAGCTCAGTGGCATAAGCGCCTGCCTTGCAAGCAGGCAGTTGAGAGTTCGATCCCCGGTACCGATAAAAAGGAAAAAAAACAAAAAACTTAGCCTTCAGTCTTAGGTCCCTTGGCTTCTCACTCCATCCTAGCTAAACAGAGTTCTTTAACACAAAAGTAGGGTGGGAAAATACTTGTCTCATTATTATACTGAAATTCAATTTTCTAAGATAGTGGAAAAGCCGCCGAGGGCCACTGTGTTCATTTTTCCACATAAATTCGAGCCACCACAGAGACGACTATGTGAGAGACTCCTGCTGCAGAGGCTGAGTGTGGTGCGCCTTTAGGCTCTGTATGTCTCTGGTCAATGAGGCCACTAGACAGGGGTGCATCTTCTTCCTTAAACACCCATTCATTTTCTGGGGAACAGGACAGTCAGATATAATTTTGCTTCCATACAATTTACATATATTTTGCTTATGCAAAATTAAATGTGAAAGTCAGTGTTAAATGGGAAAGCCTGACTTCTGACTAAAACAGAACCAGAATCATGGAATAAAGAGTGGGTGCAGGGAGCAGAGGAACTTGGTGGAGAAAGAGAGTAGGGGAGGGATATGGTACCTTGAGGACTCAGAGCACAGTGACAACGAGAAGAGTGGCTGGGAGCCAGGAAACACTCTCAAGGATAAAGAAGGATCACTTGAGCAAGGAGTTTGAGGCCAGCCTGGGTAACATGGTGAGATCCTATTTCAAAACAAACAAAATAGTATCAACTTTAATCTAACTTTATATCCCTGTCATCAAGAGCCCTGAAAATGCATAGGCCAGTACCAGCTCTGCCCCGAAGTAGCTCTGCAGATTAGGGTGCATCACACAATGTCTCTGGGTCTCAGCCTGTTTATCTGAAAAGTGACGTTTAACTTAGGTTTCTTCCAGCTCCAAAGTACTCAGCTCCTATGACTAAATATAAACTCTGGGGAGGAGGATCCTGGTTTACCCCTCTCTGTTAACGTCAAGTCATTCTTGAGACAGTCACATGCTCCAGCACATCTCAAAAGAAATCGTTTTGTAATCATGCCATTTGTTAATCATGATTATAACTTTCTGAGAGAACATGCAGGGAATTTCAGTCCATGAGAAGCTGCCACTTTGATGTGAGATGGCTTCCCTGGAGAATGTTTCTCCAGCCAGTATTTCTGTAGCTCCTAGTTTGAACGAGTACTTCTGCAATTTCTCATTTAATTAGGATGAGGTTATCTCCTCCATAGAAAAAGCTCTGTTCTGGTTTCAGGACCTCCTCAGGTAGTGGGATAGGAAATGAAGAAACGGGAGCGAGCCCTGGGACCTCATTCTGGTATGCCCATTCCTGGGTCTGTATCCTGTCACCCCAGCAGGCAGCACCGTGCTAGGTGGGGGCTGAGACACAGGAGGGTGCAGCCCTGTGGCCCTTCCTTATGCCCCTGCCTTTGCATGCAAGGAAGATGCAACGGAGTAGGCTGCTGTCTCATCACCTGCAGGTGCTTCAGGGTTCTAGAATTCCTTGCTCAGCCTTTGGGACTTTAAAGAATAAAACAGGAATGTTCTAAATAGGTTTTTAAACCTAGAAAACATTCTGCACAGCCTATATTTGTACAGGGAGGGGCACAAGGACACAAACAGGGATACTAACCTGCTCCCTGCTTCTATTCTCATGCATGAACTCAGGATTGCTACCTTGCCCATTTGCCCATTCATTATTCCTGCCGGAGGTCCAGGATGGGCAAGGAGGAGAGGCTTCCCCAGGTCCTAGCATCAGGCATTAACTTGAAAGACTCCAAATACCAAAAGGCTGTTCTTTGTGCTATGGCACCTGAATTGAGGAATTGGTAAACGGTTGCCCATTGGTGCTGTCCAGTGGACCGCAGAGGTAGGCAGACCCAGCTCCTTTGAATTAGGAATTGTCTGGAACACACAAGCTTCCTGGGGTTCCTGAGCCGACACAAGTTAGGGAGCTCATCAAGAGGTTTTTTTTTGTTTGTTTGTTTTTTTGTCTTTTTCCTTTTTATTGGTACCAGGGATCGAACTCACGACTGCCTGCTTGCTAGGGAGGCGCTTATGCCGCTGAGCTAAACCCCCAGCCCTGCATCAAGAGGTTCTTAAAAACAATCTTAGGTGGTGGAATTTGAAGCAACTTCCCCTCTAAAATGGGCCTCCTGAGCGGTGAGGGTGAGCATGGGGAATGTCAAGGGCCTCCAGCTCCTTCCCAGCATGTGAGTGATTTAGGCCACTGCCGTGCTTGGTCCCGAGGGACAGAGCACCCCAGCTGACCTCACTGTGCCAGAGGCTTTCCACTAACTGGGATGGAAAGGTTTTCAACATGCTACAAGTTCTGTCCTGGTTTCCTGCACTTGGGTCATTTCTTTTTAAAATCCCATCTGTCTTATTCTGTCATGTGAGTCTCGCTGGAAGTAGCACAGTCCCATACCAGGGAGAAATGTAAATGGTCCACTTGATTTCTCAGTGGAACCCTGCAGGCTCTGAAAAACTTCCCCATCCTTAAAAGGAATCCGGATGAAAAAACGTCTGGAGAAAAAGACTGTAAGGGGCTCCTTAGGAATTTTGTGAGGTTTTATCTTCCTTCATTTGCCTTATATCTGCTACCCAGGTGGTGACACAGGCTTTCCTATGCCTCAACAAATGTGAAAAGATTATGCACTTAGCACTGGGAAGGCCCCCTCTGGGTTGCAGTTACAGATTGTTTTCAATCTCTCCTGCCTACCAAGCTTCCCTGACAGCACAGACCTCAACGATTCCAGCAGCTGAAGAACAGCTATGCAGAACCTGTGGCCCAACACCGGGGGGTGGGGTGGGGTGTCGGAAACTGCAGCTGAGTCTCCACAGGGTCCTCTGTATTTCTGCTACGTACCTGATCTTACATGTCCTCTCAGACAGGTGAGAGGTAAAAGGACTCTCTGTAAGGAGTACAGGAGAGGCATGGATTTGAATGTTTTGTTTTAGTGTTTTGTTTTGTGGCTGAGGGCGGTGACCTTTGAAGAATGTCAGAAGAGACCTGCCTCCATGAAGTCAAATACAAATGAAATCAGGTTAAAACAAAAACAAACAACAGGAAAAGATACAAATTGTGTGTTTTGGTGTGGAAACTAGAATGCTGGGGATCATTCCACAGACGTGCTACAGAGCAAAGGAATACAAACACAAGTGTGCCTGGGGGGGGGGTGCAGGCTTGTAATCCTTGCACTCTGGAGGCTGAAGCAGGAGAATTGCAAATCTGAGCCCAGTCTAGGCAACTTAGACACAGATTTTATTTATTTTTAAAGAAAAGGCTGTGAATAAAGCTCAGTGTGAGACCCTGGGTTTAATTCCCATACCTAAAACAAAACAACAACAACAAAAAATAAGCACACCCTTCCCGCCCCTTCCAGTAAACATCTAATTCACGGCCTATTAACACAACTCATCCAGCCATAACACATATCCTATTACCCTATTTACATCTGACTGACTTTAATTCTCTGGGTATTTGAACTTGAGTTTCCCTGCTTAGGTGTAAGGTTACTCCATTCAGTTGCCTGGAACTAAGACAAGAGTCCAGACTCAGGGGCTGAAGCTCCTGTGGTCCTCTTGTCTCTGGGTGAGCCAGGTGGTGAGCTCAAAGTGGGTCTTGAGTTTCTAAGTCCTTCCAACAAAGTGTCTATTACCCCTTGCCATCTTCCTGATGACTTTTTGAAAAGCTCCCCCTCCTTTTCTGGTGTTTGAGAGTGAACTCAGGGTCTTCCAACTGCTGTACAGCCCTGTTTGAATTTTTCCTATTTTGGAATAAGGTCTCAAAGTCACAAAGTTGGCCTGGCTGGCCTTAAACTTTTTTTCACTTTTATTTCGAGAAATGGTCTTGCTAGGTTGTCCAAACTGGACTTGAACTTGACTTTTCTGCCTTAGTGTCCCAGAGTGCTTAGATTACAAGTGTGTACTATCATACTGGCTTGAAAATCGACTTCTTTTTTTTTGAGACAGGGTCTTACTTTGTAGTTGGCCTCAAACTAGAGGCAATCTCCTGCCTCAGCCTTCAGAATGCTGGGATTACGGGCGTGCACCACCACTCTTGGCTGCAAAAGTCTTTTTTAAGAACAGCTGTCCAAGCAGAAGGACATTTATTTTTTATTGCTTTGAAGAGCTTAAAGGAGAACATTGGGTGCTGAAAAAAAACTAGACCAGTGTCTGGTCTTGTGTCTTGTAGGTCAGAAGGATCATAGATTTAGGTCGGTCGCCACTAGAGGGCACACAGCTTTTCTCAGTTAATTTAAAGAGTTTTCCAACTACTGCCTGCAAAAGAATTTCATCAACGTGATGACATTTCCTATCAACAATAACAGGTAACGGCCATTTCTCCAAGGATAGTAAGTTGATGCAAACATACTGGTTATGAACACAGGTATACAAACACACACACATGTGAACATATATATAAATGTATGGTGTAATTCATTTTACACACTTAAGTATATGTTACGTGTCAGTAAACATTTGTAGATTCAAGCCTGTTGTGTTCTCAAAGGACTTCTTTTTTATTTTCAGACAGCTGGCAGATTTTTGAAGTAAAAAGTTAATTTTAAAGTCAAAACACCCTACTCACACAAGACCTCGTGAGCGCCTGCTAAGATCTGCAGGACACCCCCCACCCCTCGTCCCATGTTCCAAGCACAGCGTACTTGGTGCTGGGGTCCTTGGGCACCTTTGAGTTAAGAGAGAGCAAAGGAAATGTGAATGTATTCTGCTATGAAAGGAAATGAACACAAACTAGGCAATTTCCTTAACCCTTCTGCTTATCAATCCTTACAGCCTTCTGATCATGACATTTTGGACATTTATACCTGTGGCCTGAAGACCAAGCATTTCCTGATTGTATTACATAAACTTTGAAAAAACTTATCCATATGTTTAATAGAAGTTAAACTGATATGTACTATTTTTATTTGCTACTATCATAGCATAAAAAAAAAATCTTAAAAAGAATTGTCTTTTTTGGGGCTGGGGATTTAGCTCAGTGGCATAAACGCCTGCCCTGCAAGCTCGCAGCAGTTGTGAGTTCGATCAACAGTACCATTTAAAAAAAAAAGAATTGTCTTTTGTAAATAAGGGTGGGGTTGAGTCTGTGAAAGCCTGTGCTCTGGCTGCTGGGTCATGGCTGCGGGTGACACTCTGGGTTCTGCTAAATGACCTTCCTGCTCTGTGACACCTACCTCATTAGAATGACAGTTGCTTTCCCATGCTCTGGAAGTCACTACTGAAAAAGGATACATCTAGTTCACTCTGGAAAAAAGAAAAAAAATATACAGTTAAGAAGGAGGCATTTGGGGAGGGTGCTCTGAGGCAGACGCCAGCTTCTCTGCCTCTGGCCCTGTAAGCGGAAAGCCCTGAGTATAGATTGTGATTTTTTTTTAAAAACTCTAGCCTGCAGAAAAATCTGAGTGGTCAGAATAATTTCTCCTTAGAAAGTTGAGGAAATAAAATAAAAAAAAAATAAAAAAAAATTAAAAAAAAGAAAGTTGAGGAAATAAATGAATTCAATTATTACAGATGGTAGGGGATTGATATACACATCAGAAATCCTAACAATGTGCCATACGCTTTGAATCCATTGATTTTACTTCTGGAAGTTTATCCTAAGGAAATAACTGAATAGTGGCACAATGACAGGTGACAGAACATTCTGGGGGAGGTTGTCTATAACAGCAAATTATCAATAGCAACTTATCTATTAAGGAGGACTCAGTTGAGCAAATGATAGCATATCCACAAATGAGGATGCAGATATGTAAGTACTGACATACTTTTTTTTTTGTCTTTTTCTTTTTCTTTTTTTCTTTTTTTTTTTTAATCGGTACCAGGGATCAAACTCACAACCACACACTTGCAAGGCAGGCGCTTATGCCGCTGAGCAAAATCCTAAGGCCCCCCCCGCTTTTTTGCCTTTTTCTTTTTTGTCGTGTACTGACATATTGTTAGATAAAAAGCAAGTTAGGAAATGACATACAGACAGCCCTTGGTCCCCATGGAGTCTACATCTATCAATTTAACCAATCATAAATATAAAATAATCGGGGGGAAACTATGTGTATGAAACATGTAGAGAATCTCCTCACTCAGTGCTGTCATTCCCCAAAAAACAGACTATACCTATTTGTGAAGCATTTCCCTGGCATTGGCTATTATAAGATGCCTGAAAGTACATGAAACCTATGTATAGGTTTTATGCAAATACTACGCTGATTTACATAAAGGACGCGAGCATCCGGGCATTTTGATATCCATGAGGGTGGGGCTTCATATGGATGGATGACTGCATACTGTGCCATTATTCCATACATGTGTATGTCCGTATAGAAAGCGGTATAGTAGTAGAAAATAGTGTATCAAGTCTAAAAGGAAATTTATTCGGCAGCACTTATCAGTGAGTGATGGTGTTACTGATGATTCTTTTCCCATGTAAAAAAAAAAGTTTAACTTTTTAGAGCCATTTCGGGTTCACAACAGAGTTGAGAGGAAGGTACAAAGATGTCCACATGTATTGTACCCCATCCCCACACATGCATACCCTGCCCTTGTCGACATCCTGCCACCAGAGAAAAACACTCACTCCAGTGTTGTACAATCTATGGGTCTAGACAAATGTATGATGACATGTATTTACCCTTCCCTTCCTTCCTGTTAATATGCATTTTCATTTGTTTTCCCAAGGAAAACATGTTTATAACGTGTTTCAAAGTGTATGGCACAAAGGGAGAAAATGGTAGGCAGAAATAAGTTCATTTGTGTGTGAACGGACATCAGTTTGTGAAACACAGCGTGGAAACCCTCCTGCCTCAGCTTCAACTGCAGCAGCTATGATCTCTTGAGAAGCTGCTCCTCTGAAGCTGATTTGGCTTTTGGTTTTGAAAATGTGATATTGAAATGCTTCTCTCAGCCCAGACAGTATGAAACTGATCTCCAAATTGAAAATTTAAAAACTCAAAGATTTTTTAAAAAAAGCCCCCAAACATTTATTTTGTAACTTAAATTTTTTAAACCAGATTTTATGGTATATTTTAGATACATAGTGATCACATTCATCATAGAGAATTTATACCTATAAATGACATAACTTGATTCTTTTTCCCCTCATTTCCCCACCCTTTCGGTCCCGCCACTCCCTATTTACAAAACCTTGGTTTTTTTGTTTTTGTTTTTGTAGCAGGGGTCAAACTCACGACCTCATGCTGATCTGGCAAGGGCTTGAGCTGCTGAGCTAAATCCCTGGCTTCACAAAACCTTTGTATCCGGTTTTTTTTTTCCTTTTTTTTGTTTTTTGTTTTTTACTTTTCCCTGCTTGCCTTCTTCCTTCCCCTCTCCCTTGCTCCCCTCTCCATTGGAACATTTTTCCTGTTTCAAAATACCTAATATACATTTTGGTTCTTATGTACACTTTCAGTTTCTCACACCAGAGAAACAATGTGCATTTACGCATGTGTGTTTGACTTATTTCGCTTAAGAATATAGTCTCAAGGTACATCCATTTACCTAGGAATGTTTTAAGCTTATCCTTCTTTATTGGTCTCCAAACATTTAAAACTTTCAAACCTAGCTTGGCATGGGCATGTAGGCCTATAATCCCACCACTCAGTAGGCTGAGGCAGGAGGATACACAGAGGTCACAGCCATCCAGGCTGTGAGTTTAAGGGCCAGTCTGAACTACATAGTCAGACCCAGTCTCAAAAATAAATAAGTAAATAAATAACTAAAACGAAACTCACAAATCTAAATATAAATCTCAGCTGCCCAGGCACTCTCTGATTGGGCCGATCAATTTACTTCTCAAGTACTCTTCCCTCTTGTTTTCTTTTTGCTAAGGTCTGATTCTGCACTGGGTCATCCTTCGGACAGTCAAGGCCTGCATAATCACCTTGCTTAAATTAGATTCTAAGCTTTACTTCTGTGGTTCATGTGGTCACTCACTCCCTAAAATTATAGCAATAATTCAGCAATGTGCTATTTATTTTTAGATACTGAATGTAACAATTAAAAAACCTTAGCAGTGTTCATACCCACTTTTTATTCTGCCTCATTTAAAACACTGTTATTCTGGGAAAGCATGTTCTTCTCAGTGGATGTCTCATTAAAGTGGCTAATCGTGGCCAGCTCTGAACTGCAGCGCCTGACTTGGACCCAGTTAACCTTCACTTGAGAGGAGTCACCAGGAGATAAGCAGGAATGACAGCTATGAATTCAACATGGTAACCACACACCTGATGCAGTGATTTCATTTTAATTAGTTACAATGACATACAATTTTTTTTTTCGTTTTTATCGGTACCAGGGATTGAACTCACGACTGCCTGCAAGGCAGGCGCTTATGCCGCTGAGCTAAATCCCCAGCCCCAACATACAATTTCAAAGTGAATCCCACAGTTACCCTCCACATGTCAAGGGCTCCATGGTGCATGGCTGGGACCACTGGAGCGCAGGGTACGGGAAAGCCTTCTGGACAGTGCTGGTGCCCTCTCCATGCAGTAGCGCAGAGTGGATTTCAAAGCCAGTCCCAGCGCTCTGCCCCTTCACAGCCAGCCCTGGCCTGGCCTGACCTCTTGCCCTTGCCGAATCCCTTCTTGTTCTGATGCCCTATCTCATCACTGGCCGCTAGCCATTCCTCCAGTTCCAATTCCTAAATTAGGAAAGTTCTGAGAGCAAGCCTTATGAATTAAGGTAATGGTTCTCAAATGTAAGCATCTATCAGAGTCATCTGGGAGGTTTCGAAAAACTAGTTTTAGACTTAGCAGTCTAGGTTAAGACTGAGAATTTATTTATTTTTTAAAAACACAAGGTCTTGCCGGGCATGGTGGCTCACGCCTGTAATCCCAGCGCTCGGGAGGCTAAGGTGGAGGATCAGTTTTTTTTTTTTGTCTTTTTCCTTTTAATCGGTACTGGGGATCGAACTCACAACTGCTTGCTTGCAAGGCAGGCGCTTATGCCACTGAGCTAAATCCCTAGCCCCTGGGAGGATTGTTGAGAGTTCGAGACCAGCCTGGGCTACAAAGTGAGTTCAAGACCAGCCTGAACTGCATAGCGAGACCCTGTCTCAAAAAAGACAAAAAAAAACAAAAAACAAAAAACACAAGGTCTTACTATGTAGCACAGACTGGCCTTCAACTTGCAATTCTCCTGCATCAGCCTTTCAAGTGCTGGGATAACAGGTGTGTGCCACAATGCCTCAGTTCAGAACTTGCATTTTTAATATATTTCACTTTTCCCTTAAAAGACATCACCTTTTTTGAAGTACAGCTTAAAATAAGTGTGCAGATTAATGACTTTTCCCTTCACCCTATACTACCAAGGCCTCCAGAGCATTTCCAGGAGGAGCAGGGCCCCATCTCAGCATCTCCCCATCCACCCTGCTTGCATTGCTGGTCCAGGAGGTGGACTGTAAGAACCAACCACTGTACTAGGCTGGTGAGGATGGGCTGGTGAATGGGTTCATGGAGGAGTTCGCCAAATTTCTGGCATTAGGAGCATGGCTGAGAGTACAGCTTGTGAACACGTGGCTTGCCCTGTGCAGGTTTAGTGTACTTGAGCTTACTAATTATGGCAGATTCCATTCTGCCACAGGAAGCAAAAGCTTGGAAACAGTTCCTTCCTAATCTTTTTTATATAAAAGCAAAATAAACAAAAACAACTTTGAAAAAATAATGAGCTCCTACCACTGCTATTCCTTGAGAATATCTAATCAGCCCTCAGGAAGACTCGTGGCTGCAAAGAAAATCAAACTCAAACACCAAAAAGGAAAAAAAGAAGACCGTTGAGTCTGAATTTCACTACAAAGCCATGGAATGAAGACAGTGTGGTGCCGACGAAGGCATTTCCTCTCAAGTTAGGAAAAGGCTGAGGATGTCCAGGGTCACTGCTCCTATTCCATACAGTTCTCCACATTCTAACCAGAGCAATTAGGCAAGAGAACAAAACTACAAGGCACACAAATAGGGAAGGAAAACTCAAATTATCCTTGTTTGACATGATCTTATGCCGTGAAGGCACTAAAGTCTCTTCCAATAGACTTTTAGAGCTGATAAATAAATTCAGCAATGTAGTACGGGATAAAATCAACACTAAAAAGACAAACAGCTTTATTACACACCAATAATGGACTAGCTGTGAAAAAAAATCTGGAAAACAATTCTATTCACAGTAGCTTCACATAAAATAAAAAACCGAGGGATCAATCTAACTAAGAAGGTGAAAGACCTCTACAATGGAAATTTTACAATACTGAAGAAAGAAATGAAGATGAACCAGAAGATGAAAAGACCTCCAGTTTTCAGATTGGCAAATTAGTTTCTTTTTTTTTTTTTTTTTTTTGTACTGGGGATCAAAGTTAGGACCTTGCACTTGCCAGACAGGCACTTTGCCACTGAGCTAAAATCCCAGCCCTAAATTAATAGTTTCAAAATGGCCATTTTTTTTGTCTTTCTTTTTTATTGGTACTGGGGATCGAACTCACGACTGCCTGCTTGCAAGGCAGGTACTTATGCCGCTGAGCTAAATCCCCAGCCCCCAAAATGGCCATCTTATCAAACATGACCTACAAGTTTAATGTAATTCCTATCAAAATACAACGGCACTCTCCACAGAACTAGAAAATCCTAAAATTCACATGGAAACACAAAAAGACACAGTAGCCAAAATAATCCTAAACAAGAGCAAGGCTGAAGCAATCACAATACCTGATTTCAAATTATACTACACACTGGGTGTGGGGGCGCATATCTATAATCCCAGCACTTGGGAGACCAGGCAGGAAGACTGCTGTGAGTTCAAGGCCAGTTAGAGCTACATAGGTTCAAAACCAGCCTGGACTGCACAGCGAGACCCCCATCTCAAAGGAAAAAAGAAAAAAGAGGCACTTCTCAAAAGGAGAAATACAGAATGGCCAATAAGTATATGAGAAAATATTCAACATCTTTATCCATTGGCAAAATGCAAATCGAGACTACAATGAGATTTCATCTCACATCCACTATCATCAAGAATACAAAAAACTACAAATGCTGATGAGGATGCACCAGCATGATGGGTAAGAATGTTAACCAGTATAGCCACTGTGGAAATCAGTATAGAGGTGTGTGAGACACTAAATAGAGCTACTGTTTGACCCACTTACACCACACCTTGGTATATACTTGAAGCAATTAAAGACAGCATACAATAGGGACACCTGTGTACCCATGTTTATTACAGTACAATTCCTAATAGGCAAGATATGGAACCGGCCCTGTTACCATCAACGTATGAATCGATAAAAGAAATGTGGTGTGTATATACAATGGAGAGTCATTCAGCCACAAGGAAGAATTCAGTTCTGCCATTTGCAGGAACATGGAGGATCTGGAGACCATCAAGTTCAGAGAAATAAGCCAGACCTACGTGTTGTATGTTTTCCCTAACATGTGGAATCGAAAAAAGATGACAGAAAAGTTGAAAGGAGACTTATTAGAGAAGGGAAAGGGACTAAGAGAGAGGGGTTGGGCAAGTAATAGGGGGGCAGAGACGAGCAAAATGTATACATCAACACTCCCAAACTGCGAAACTAGGAGGAGGGATGGCAGAAAGGGGTGGGGCAGGAAGGTGATCCAAGTGTGTTACGTGCAAGTACAGATCCGCCAAAATGAAACCCTCTAGTCTGTATCACCAGTAAAAAAAAAGTGAGAAAGAGGAGGAAGTGCTATCACAAGGAACACTTACAAACAAGACACTATACTGACTAAGGGTAAACATACAGATGAGTAGAACAGAACTGAGTGTCCAGAAACAACTATTTATGGTCAACTGATTCACAGCGAGAGTGCCAAGAAAAAGAACAGTTTTTCCAATACAAGCTATTTGCATAACTCGACAGCCCCATGCAAAAAGAATGAAGTTTCATCCGCAACTTACTCAGAATGGAACACAGACCTGTATATGAGCCGAAAGTATTAAATTCGAATAAGAAAACACAGGAGTAAGTTTTCATGATTTAATTAGGTTAGGCAAAGCCAAAAACATAAGCAGTCAGATGGGAATTCAATCTAGACACTGGAAAGTAATTTGGCAGTTCATAAAATGTTAAATATGGAATTACTACACCACCCAGCAATTCTTCCCCCAGGTATATGCTGGTCTTCATCAATAGGTTAAAAACTATTATCAATAGTTTTTATCAATAGGTTAAAAACTATTATGTTTCAAAAGGTACAATCGAGAACATGAAAACTGCTGAATAAGAGAAAATATTTTCAAATCATAAGGGACTGGTATTCTGAATATATAAAAAAACTCGTGCAACTCAATAATAAAAAGACAAACAATGCAATAAAAATAGTCAAAGGAGCCAGGCATGGTAGCAGATATGCCTGTAATCCAAGCAATTTGGGAGGCTAAGGCAGGAGGATGGAAAGTTTGAGGCCAGCCTGGTCAATTTAGCCAGACCATGTCTCAAAACTAAAAAACTGGAGGGAGTAGTCTGGGGATGTAGTTCAGTGGCGAAGCACTTGTCTAGCATGTGTGAGACTTTGTACTTCAACAATCCAGTGTGGGGGTCAGGGGTAGAGCTCAGCCACACAGAGCCTGCCTGGCAAGCGTAAGGTCATGAATTTGATTCCTGGGACAAAAAAAATAAAGAAAAAATAAAAAAAAGCAACCCAGTTTAGGGAAGCCTAAAGAGGATGGGCAGGATTGGTGCAAAGGATTAAGCATTTTTTTTATTTAACAAAGAAGATGTATCAGGGGCTGGGGATTTAGCTCAGCGGCATAAGCGCCTGCCTTGCAAGCAGGCAGTCGTGAGTTCAATCCTCGGTACCGATAAAAACGAAAAAAAAAAAAAAAAGAAGATGTATGAGAAGCCAATAAACATGAAAAAAATGCTAAACATCATTATGCAAACCGAAACCATAATTGATCAGCTTCTATATCACTGTATGTTCACAATGATAGCTATTACTTAGCAAATAAATTTTGGTGAGGATGTGAAAAAATGAGAACACTCATACTCTGCTGATGAGAATTTAATCTAGGCACTGGAAAATAATTTGGCAGTTCATCAAATGTTAAATATGGAATTACCATACCACCTAGCATTTCTGCTCCTCGGTATATGCCCAAGAGAACTGAGCACAAGGTTCTATATAAATATGTGGAGATAAGTGTTCATGGCAGCATTATTTATAGCCAAACACTGAAAATAACTCAAATATCCATCAACTAAATGAATAAAGAAAATCTGGTATATTTACACAGTAGAATATTATTAAGCAATAAAAAGGAAAGCAGAAGCCAGGGTGGTGATGCCTGTCTATGATCCTGTCATTTGGTAGGCTGAGGCAGGAGGATTGCCTTGAGTTTGAGGCCAGCCTGTGCTACAACTAAGTTCAAGTAAGTTCAAGGCCAGATTGAGCTGCATAGTGAAATCCTGTCTGAAGTAGACAAAAAACAAAACAAAACAAAACAACAACAAAAAAAGAAAGCAGGACTATACTATGAGCAGATCTTAAGAACATTATGCTAAATAAAAGACATCAGTCACAAAAGACCTCATAAGTGCATCATCCTATTTATCTGAAATGTCTAGAACAGTCCAATGCATAGTGACTGGAAGAGGATTAATAGTTACCTAGGGCCTGGAGTAGGTGGACAGGGATAACTGGGGGAAAGTCTACTGGGTATTATGTTTATTGAAATTTCTTTATTATAGTGATAGTTGCAGCACTTGTGTAAACACTAAAAGCTACATACTTTGGTGAACAAACTATATGGTATGTAAATTATATTTCAATACAGCTATTATAAAAAATGATTCAAAACACACTCCTGGATTCCTATAGATGAGTCGACTTTTCACCCTCAAAGCAAGAGTTTACATGGAAATGATAAAGTGAAAAAGGTTCAAGTGTCTTAGTAGGGAAAGCAGAGTGAAGAAAACAGAGACCAAGCAGGAGCAAAATTTTGTGACCGAAAAGTAGTTAGTCTTTTGAGAGATAGTCCTTTGTAAAGATCTCACACATACACAGGCTCATAATTCTTTGGATGAGCCAGAAGGAAAGGCAAGGAAAATTGAGCATCATTTAGGCTGAGGCAGAAAACCATTTTTTAGCCATTAGACTTACCACTTGGCTGAAGTACACATCTAAAACTTCCACAAAATTGTGGATGAATTCATAAATGGCCATCTCATTCTGAAATATAAGAGGAATAGCGCAATTATGGTTAGCGTGGTGGCCAAGTGCAGTGGCACAAACCTACAGCCCGAAATCTGGAGGGGTGATGCAGGAGAATTGCCCAGCTTGGGCAATTTAACTATTTTGTGACTCTGTCACAAAAGAAAAAGGGGACCGAGGATGTGTATAGCTTAGTACAAAGACCCTGGGGTTCGATCCCCAATATTGAGAAAGAAAAAAATATTAGCATAGCCCTTTTATAAAGCAGACCATAGAAATTTGCCCAGTTCCTGGGTATGGAGGCGCATGCTGTAATCTCCCCCCTTAGGAGGCTGAGGCAGGAGAACTGCCACAAGTTTGAGGAAAGCCTAGACTATATGGAGAGTTTAAGGCCAGCCAAACCATATATAGTAGAGAAAAAAAATCAGCTGGATGTAGTTTCACAGGCACCATCTCAGCTATGCAGGAGTCTGGGCAACGCAGCAAGACCACACACACACACACACACACACACACACACACACACATACATACACACAGGCTTCAGATGGCATGTGCCAGCCCCTAGGTTTAGTGCTTACCACTGACAAAAATCACAGTAATTCTCAGGGAGATAGGTAGGAGAAAGAATACAAATCAGAGCTATCCCCAATTCCCTTGTATTTTCTGCACGCTCTTCTAATATCTTACCTCAGTGTCATTAACTCCGACCACAATGAAGAGAGCTGCGTACTGCCGATATATCAGCTTAAAATCCTTATATTCAATGAAAGAACACTAGACAAAACACAGAGAGTTATTAATGTCTTTCTGCAACAAGAGACTTCGTCAAAACGACATGCATAATTTTGGTTTGAGCATTTGCCACACAGTCCTGGAAATCTGGAACACTGAAATGTTACACAATCTTCGGTGGCCTTCTCACAGCACTCGGGGGCTCCTTGCTAGCAGCTTGAGGGGCAGTGGAGAAGCGGTCTGAGTGATCATCAGCCTTTCCCCTTGTAGTCTCTCCCGCCCGTCTCTTGGCTCTGGGTAGAACTAACCCAGCACACAAAGCTAATGGACAATCAGTGTTTTAGACCGCCTCCATGAAGATACACAAACGCGACCAAGATTCTCTTTTTTTTTTGTCTTTTTCCTTTTTATCGGTACCAGGGATCGAACTCACGACTGCATGCTTGCAAGGCAGGCGCTTATGCCGCTGAGCTAAACCCCCAGCCCCCAAGATTCTCTTCTTTACACCTCCCCATGGCGTCTTGGGACAACCAGATATACTGAATGTACATTTAATAGTCACTGAGAAGACAAACAGTGAAAGCAGCACTATGTGTGTGTGATATATGTGTAAATATATATAATACACACATACTTTTTCCTAGACTCATAATAAGAATCAAGTAGATTCTTCCATAAATTATTTCCAGATGGCCTTTGTGTGGTGGATGCTAGACAAAATCTCCCATCGTAAGTACTGCTTCATATGAATTAATAACCAGCTTCCGTGCAGCGAGTTGTATAATGATACTCCTTTCTCACTCATCTCTCCCTGACAGCCACAGCAGAGGGTTGCGGGTCGGCACTGGGAACTGGACAGGAGGCCGAAGACACAGGGTTATTCTTCCTCTGCCCCTGTCACAGAGTGCTGACTGAATGTGACTGAGTGTAAACTTCATGGCCTTTTTACTGGGAGATATTACTGTTGGGTGCTTGGATCTACCTGCCACTTATGCTGCAAGATTTTGTTTTATTTTGTTGGTACTGAGGGTTGAATCTAGAACCTGAGCTATAGCCTGAGCACTTTTATTTTTTATTTTGAAACAAAGTTCCACTAAATTGCCTGGGCTTGGATCAAACTCATGATCCTCCTGGCTCAGTCTCCCAGAATGCAGAGAGTACAGGTGTATGCTATCATGCCCAGGTGAAGCTGTAAATTTTCATTACGGAAACTCCTCCATAGGAAAGCCATTTGATAATATACCATGGAGGGATCTGAGTCTTGTATTTAAATTTAGAATAAAGGTAATAAGACTGTTTTGCAGCTTGTGACTCATGGTAGGATCGGTGAAATTTCTGCTCAGTTGGATTTTTCAAGGAAAAACAACTCATTTAAACTGCAGGACATTTTTCCCTTTCCCCCGCTAGTACTGGAGAGTGAACCCAGTCCTTTTTAAATTTCCTAAAATTCTGCAACAGGGTCTTGTTAAATTGCCCAGGTAGGACAAACAACTTCTGATCCTCCTGCCTTAGCCTCCCTCAGGGCTGGTATTAAAGGTGTGTGCCATTGCACCCAACTGAGGGACATTTTTCAAAGTCTTTTAGGAGTTTTTGATGTTAAGAAAAGAACATCAAAGCACCCTTGTGGATAAAATAAACACTAAGCTAAAATGATAATTTAGTGCCTGATTATGCCAAAGGAGCAGTGGGTTTCTTTTAAAATACAAAATAATTTAGGATGCTTCAAAAATTTCTAACAGTGTATGTTTAGTCCAAAGCTTGTATTTTAAGCTGGTCACAGTGGTGCAGGCCTGTAATCCTAGCTATTTGGGAGGCTGGGCAGAAGGATCTCAAGTTTGAGGCCAGCCCGGTAGCTTGTGAGAGATCCTGTCTTTAAATAAAATTTTAAAAAGGGTAGGGATGTAGCTCAGTGGCAGAGAACTTGCCTCACAGATAGGAGGCCTTGGATTCAGTACTGAAAAAAAAAAAATATAGGCTCGTATTTCGGTGAAAATTATGTTTAACATTACAGTGACTGTGTTCTGCAGAAAGATTCAAACAGCAAACAGTGGCCTGTTTCCCTTTACGTACAGCACATGGCTCTTCACACAGCCCTGTGCACTGTTTCCATCCAGAGAAGTATGCTGCAAAAGCTAAAATTGTAATTTGAATAGGAACTCTGAGATGTTCGAATTAGAAAATAATTTGTTGTTGTTTTGAGATGGGGGTCTCACTGTGTTATCTAGGATGGCCTTGAACTCACTATGTAGTCCTGGCTGGCCTCGAATTTGCAGCAAGCCTCCTGCCTCATCCTGCTGAGTGCAATTACAGGTATGCACCACCACCCCTGGCTGCAAAATAATTTTAAAAGCCCAGGGAAACACATTTGCACCATGTAACTGTAACTTCTGAGGTCTAATGTAACTTAATAGCTTCTGACTTGGCAGTTGTCCCCACACGTAGCTTTCTACATGTGCAAGGGAATGGAGAACAGAGGAAACTAATGGGTGATTAAAACAAGACTTTGGATTGGGTTTCAGTTGTTGAGTTCTGACAGATTTGCCATTTAAGACATGGGTTAGATAATTCTCTAAAGTTCTTTGTAAAAAATTGGTTCAACTTAAAAAAATACTCCTTATGGGATGGGGTGGAGCCTTGGTGGTAGAGTGTGTGTTTAGCACGTGCAAGGCTCTGAGTTTGATGCCCAAATCAACACCCATTAAAATTCTATTTATTACTTTAATGATTTTACTTAACCTTCAGAGTTTGGGAGGAGAGGGCTGGGGATTTAGCTTAGTGGTGGAGGGCTTACTTGGTACACTCAGGGCCCTGGGTTCACAAGACCCTAGTCATTTTTGCAGCACTAGAGCCACACAAAGAAAGAAAGAAATTTTGGCAGGATAGACAGGTTTGTTGTTTTATATGACTTTTTAACTTCCATTTTTCCTCATTTACATGATAAAATAAAAAAGTTCACATCAAGTTTGCTTTGTTTTCAAATCTCTAGTTCTAGCACTGTATCAGTGTATAGTTACAAAAATGATAATTGAGAAAAAGTATTGTCCCCAAATGGGAATCATATTATTATCCTCCAGCACAAATGATATTATTATCCTTGAACATTCACCTTCAAACTAGTCATTTGACCTTCAGTTTTTGGCTTACAGAAAGCCACCTGCTACAGGCACTCCTAAGAGTTCCAAGGGCTGAATTCATATGAACAAAAAAGGATTATGTTTACTAGCAGGAGTAAATTTAGCTGCCACTTCTATGGTGTACTCAGACACATATACTGACCTAAGTAAGAACCCAAGACTTTTTCGGCCTTTCTTGTTTTTATTCTCTTCCAGGGATGTAAAGAGAGCTACGCTTCCTTTGGTTTTCATTCCTTATTTTTCCTAGTAGTTGTTGAAGGAAGGTAGCTCAGAGGAAATGACGGCCTTGAGACTCGGTAATAGCACACCTGCCAAGGCTGAGCCGATTGCAGGGATGAAGGAGAACATCAGAAACTTACCTGTTCGGTGGATCGAGAGAGACAGGTCTTTATGACCTCTGTTTCCAGAAGTGTGCGCTTATTAATGTCCACGTGTTCATAGTACTTAGACAGTCGAGTCTGTCCTTGTTTATTCACCATAAGGAAGAATTTTATCATTTTTTCCCTGGCCAGTGCTTTTCCAAATACAGCTCAAAAGTTCTAAGCTATAACTGGAACAGGAAGAAAAAAGAACAGTAAGCTGAGATTAAGTTTCTCAACATATGAAGTCTGTTCTGTAGATGAATCAGAAGTAAATAAAATATTTAGTAACATCGGTTTTCACAGCAATGAATTAAATGAGGTTTTCATAAGTAAAAACCAAACATAAATTCTCATTAATTATCTTCAAAAACAATTTTGAGCAACAGTAATTCTACTCATATTCATTCATTCATTCAATTTATGCATCAGTGTTATTAGGTACCAACTTTGGAGCAAGCATCAAAAAAATATGGAGGAGGGGCTGAGGATTTAGCTCAGCGGCATAAGCACCTGCCTTGCAATCAGGGGGTCGTGAGTTCAATCCCCGGTACCGATAAAAATGAAAAAAACAAAAAAAAAAAAAAAAAATGGAGGTGAAGAAATGATATTTTTTTTTTTTTTTTGATACTGGGGATTGAACTCACAACCTCACGCTTGCCAGGCAGGCACTTATACCACTGAGCTAATCCCCAGTGCAGGGTTTTGTGGAAGTCTTTACTTGTTTATTGTGTGTTGTCTCATCAGACTGTCTCGGTTACTTTTCTTTCTTTTTTTTGGTGGGGGGTTTTAGGAATCAAACTCAGGACCTCGTGGTTGCCAGGCAGGCATTGTGCTGCTGAGTTATATCCCGGGCCCTTAGGTACTTTTCTTTTCTTTTTTTAAGGTACTGTTCTTGTTGCTGAGACAAAACACCCAACATCTAAAGTTCAAGGAGGGAAGGTATTTGGCTCACGGTTTGTGAGGGGTTGGTTCCGAGGCGTGGGGGCATCACAGAGCAGAGCGGTTCATAATGGGCAGCAAAGCATGAGAGTAGGGAAGCAGCAGCAAGCAGAGGCAGGGCAGCCCTCTCCGTCCCTTATATTCCACCAGGGTGGGTCCTCCTACCACCACCCAGAACCCTACCAGTCAGTGAACTGACTCAATCTCACCCCACACCCTGGAAAATCCCCACCTACGGCTGTGGGAGGCTTTGGCGGGGGGGGGGGTAACAGACAGTAAGCATCAGGAGAAAGAGGACCCATGCATTCCAGCAGGGTCCCCACGGCTCCTGTAGAAGGGCCCGACACCAGGAAATGTGTAAATACTGACAGCACGGGGTGCAAGAGCTGGCAGACTCTCCTTACCGCCCCGCTGCCTAGCTGTCAACAACCCACAGAGGGACCAGTGGAGGACCAGGGCTGTGCAGGGTCACCTATTTCTTCAGGCATTTGATAAACCAACCCATTCTCCTTCCCAGTGGTGTTCCAACATGCTCTCAACATTCTACTCACAACTTGGCGGTGTGGAGACTTTTAATGCTTCCTCCCTGCAAAATTAAAAAAGCAAGAGGAGGAAAGGAACTGGGAAACCAAGACTTGACCGGCGCAGCCCCCCAATGAGACAGGAGAGGCTTCAGGTGGGTAACAGGAACTGCCCACTTTATTGTTGCGGGTTCTGGCTTATATATCTGACTGTGGCCAATCAGGCTGCCACGAGGGCTGCCACGAGGAGGAAGGGCTGGAATGAGACGCGGGCTCTGGCTAATATACTCAGCTGTGGTGAATACGAAGTGAGCACGGGGTGGCTAATTTGGAGAGGGACGTAGCGCATTGCGGAAGCTGGCGTGGTCCTTAGTCCCGGGTGGGGTATGGTATGTTGAGCACCTGCGCCCAACAAAGACTGAATATCACAACATCGCAGGAGGCAGTTTCTAAAAAGGGGCCTACTTGAAGTGAGGTATGCTTTTGGGTTGCAGAATTTATGGTTTAAAGAAAAAGAAAGAAATATATGGGTATTGGAAGGAGGGATAAAAATCTGATTTCAGCTCAACAAAGTTGTGGCTCCCTCTCTATATGGTTCAGGACATATCCACCTCCTGGACTTTTCCCTTGAGTACTGCATCGGGAAATACCTTTGCCAGGTCTGAAAAGTAGATTCACCCCTTCCCCAGCTCTGTGTGCTGGGAGTTCCAGGTAGAAAACCCTTTGTGTTTCTGACCTAGTGCGCACCTCCTGCAGCCAGAGGAGAGGAAGAGTAGGGAAGGAGAAAGAATAGAACAAGGGGGAGTAAGAGGAAGAAGAGGCAGACAAGGGATGATTTTTTCCCCCTAGTTGTAGGGATTGAGCTCAGGACCTTCATGCTATGCTATGTATATGCTCACTGTTTTTTGTTTTGTTTTGAAATAGGGTATCACTAAATCGCCTGGGCTGAATTTAAATGTGTGATCATCCTGCCTCAGCCTCCCAGAGTTCTGGGTTTACAGGTATGTGCCACTACCCCCAGCTAAATGAAGATTTTTGTCTTTTTTTTTTTTTTCTTTTTTCCTTTTTATCGGTACCGGGGATCGAACTCACGACTGCTTGCTTGCAAGGCAGGTGCTTATGCCGCTGAGCTAAATCCCTAGCCCCTAAATGAAGATTTTTGATCTTCTGATTTTTATACCTAGCACAGGTGCTAGACACCTAAATAATAGCAGGGCAAGGTGTAGAGTTATAACTGGCCAGATGTCCTCCAGTGTACACAGCAGGGAAGACCAAGGAATGTTACAGGAGTTCGGGACTCTCTAGAGAGGGGGCAGTTTAGCAGCATCTTCAAGGATGACCCAGGAAGAGAGATTCAGGCAGAGAAAACACGGACATCAAAAGCTCTGGAGAATTCACTATGGGTGCAATTCGTGGGGCAGCAAGAATGGTCAAGGCAAATCAAGCTGTTCACATACAGCAAAATTGGCTTTAGGAGTCATGAAAGAACTCCTGTAATCCCAGCACTCAGTAAGCTGAGGCAGGAGGATCACCTCAAGTTTGAGGCCACTCTAGGCTACATAGTGAGTTCAGTGCCAGCCGGGACTATATAATAGTACCCTGTCTAAAAAAAAAAAAAAAAAAAAAAAAAAGAAAGGAATTTGAGCTTTATTTATGGGCAATATAGACAAGTTCTTTTTTCCTTAGTGGTAGGAATCTTAAATTTGTCAAATTCTTCTAAGACCATATAATGAATTCTATAGTCTTATGCTAGGCAGTTTATGAATATTTAATTCTTGTAACTGTTTTGAGGCAGACACTGGTTTTTTGTTTGTTTTTTTGAAACAGGATCTAGCTATGTAGACCAGGGTGGTCTTGAACTCACAGCACCCTGCTCCCTCAGCCTGCTGAATGCTAGGTTTACAAGCATGTGCCACCACACCCAACTTGAGGCAGGCACTTTCACTGTCTTTATTTTAAGGTCAAGCAAAGTAAAAGTTAGGGACATTAAGACACCACAAAACCACTGTACTTCCCTGTGTCAGAGGTGTAAGGCTCTTCAGAGACCAAGTACATACATGGGTTTCTGATACCTGTAACTCAAATTCATCAAGTTATACAATCTAAAATAATCTTAGGTTCACAGAAAGTTGCAAAAGATAACCATTGTAACTACCATAATATATTTGGTAAAACTAAGAACAATCGCGTTTTTTTTTTTTTTTTTTTTGAGATGAGTCTTGCTGTGTAGTGCAGGCTGGCCTTGAACTTGCTCATGTAGCCCAGGCTGGCTTCGAACTCAAGGCAATCCTCTTGTCTCAGCCTGCCATGTGCTGCTATTACAGGTGTGCACCACCATGCCTGGCTCAGAAACAATACATTATTACCAACTCAACTCCAGAATATATTTGGAGTTCAACTTTTTCATAAATGTCTTTTCTTTTGTCCAGCATTCCATTTGGCATATCACATTGCATTTAACTGTAGTGTTTCCTTTGGTCTCTTCTCGTTTATCACAGTTTCTCAGTTTTTCCTTTCATGAACTTGAAAGTCTTAAGGATACTACTGGCCAGGTGTCCTGTAGAATGTCCCCTAATGTAGGTTTTGCCTGATGTTTTTCTCATAATTAGACTTTTTGGAAGAAAAAAAAAGAAGCCATGGAGGTGAAATGCCATTCTCAATACATCATATCAGGGGGGACAGGATAGGTACGTGATCATACTGGGGATGTTACAGGCAAGAATATTTGAGATCTTTTCCATACTTAGGGAACTGAAGTTACCTAATTACTTTTGATGGCCTTGCCACCCATAAAATAGGTGAAGCTTTGTTTTTCTTAGGTCAAGCATTAATATTTACGTATTACTTTATAAATTCCTAGTGAATTCTTATGTTGTGCTGTAAGGCAATCCATAAACTATGATGTCGGTGTCGTCTTCTATAATGTAAATACATTAAAGGGGCTGGGGATTTAGCTCAGCGGCATAAGCGCCTTCCTTGCAAGCAGGTAGTCATGAGTTCAATCCCCGGTACTGATAAAAAGGAAAAAGACAAAAAAAAAAAAATACATTTAAGCCAGAATACAGATCCCCATAAATACAAGGAAAGGTTAAAAAAAAAAAACAAAAACAAACAAACAAACAAACAAAAACCTTTCCAAGAAACTGCAATACAAAGAGATATGTACTGAAATGTAAAACCATCTCCTAGTGTCTATAGACTTCCCTGATCCCTATCCAGGGATCCAGGCTGAGAACACTAGTACAATACAATCATTCATAAAGTCCCTTAAAAATAAATGGACTTCTAGGATTTTTGTGTTAATCTTCCCAATGACTTTATTACTATGTAACACATGTAAGACACACTATATTTATATCTAAAGTAAATGAGTGAAATGTTACAAAATGAATATGGCACACAGATCAATCTGAATTCTTTGGAAAAAGTCTACTTTTGACATATAATTACTACTTGCTCAAAAATATTAGCTGTCACTTTTAGCAGCTGCAATTACAGAGCTCAGTTTCCTAATGTGCTGCCTAGGAGACCGAAAAAGAACAATACAGTATCATTATGAGGCTGCGTCAGCCCAGGTGAGCATTTACAGCTATTTTAACAATGGTTGGAAAGTATCTGCTAAGAATTAGTTTGCAAAGGACTCAGCTAGCTGTCAGAACATGAGAAAAGATAGAGAAGATGACTAACAGGGTTTGATCTACTTTGCTGCTTCTTTTTTTTTTTTTGTC